GTTTGGTTTCTATCCAATACCCTCTCAATAAATAATCTTATTTGAATTAATAATTAATAAATTGATGAATAATGAATTAAAATTGATTGGTTGAAAAGAAGAAGAAGAAATCCAGTGTTGCCAAAAGAGGGCCCCAAAAAATAACAGGAGCATTTTCCCACATGTATATGTTAGGATTTAACTCGTTGAAAACGTTTACCTTCGTTATTACCCTGTGAAATGACCATTTTACTCTCCTGACTTTGGAACTTGGAGATTCTCTGCATAACGTTCTATGAAAAATAGCTGAGCTCAATGGTGACTCTGTTTGGTGATTAAGGGTTTGTTTGGTGTGAGAAAAATTAAGAGAAGAAAAAAAATTAATAAAGTTGATTTAAAAAATTAATAAGTGAAATTAAAACTTTTAATTAATTTTTATTACTTTTTTATCTTACATCTTTTTATTAAAATTGTAAAATACTTTTTTTAACTTTTTAAATGGAGCTTATTAAAATTTTCTGTCCTCTTCCCTCCCCTCAATTTCCCTCATACCAAACATAAAGCAAATGCCCTTCAAGCAAGATTTTTTTTACCATAATTGTGTGGATTAAAGCATTTATGTTAATAAAGTTGCCTTTATTTGGAACCAACGCAACAATAATCTAACACTCCATCTAACAAAATTTGCGTGACAATTTTTTTTTTTAAACAGAACCTATGACTGATTTTAAAATGATTCAATAACTGTTTTTAAAATTATTTGACTTAATGTAAGAATGACTGGAATGGAATGCATCAACTTCCTCTTGACCTAAAAAAATATATTTTCATTCATCCAAGCAAAGTTGTTGTTCAGATTCATCGCTCTTGTATATTCCTATTATTCAACAAGGTAAGTATTTTATGATTTTTCATTATTTAAAATAGAAAAAATTGGTGAAAAATCCTATTTAAAAATTTCATTGATGAGGATGGCCTAAATCAGAGTAATTGTATTTTATAGGCATAAAATTTATAGAATATCAATACTTTTTATATATAAAAAGTGACAGTGTATGAGGTTTTACCATTATATACATTGACCCAAGCATGAACGATTACATTTGGTTAGTTAGTTTCCATATATAGTTCAGCAACCTGTTAGTTTTTTATAATCTTTAATTATATACATATAAGTGGAGCAAAAATTGAGATTAAAAATTAAAAAAAATTACGCTTAATACTACTTCTGATCCTAATTATAAGAGTTAGTTGACCAATTTGAAAAGATTAAAGAAATAAGTTAAGTTAGTTATTTATAATAAATAAGTGTTGTCTTTTCTAAAATATCCTTGCTAATTAAGTGTATTGGCTATAACTATCATTGTTAGAAGGATTATCTTGGAAAAAAATACATAAATATGATAGACAAAATGGATTGGGGTTTTATATTTATGATTAAAATAAAAGTCAAACAATTTTTTTATAGGAAACTTTGTTGTTTTTCTCTATATGTCTCGAATATGAGAAATTAAGCTCCCTCCTACAGTTTTGCATGTTCGGGGTTCTATTTGCACCAATTCCCTACCTATGAAATTTGATATTTTGGAGAACTAAATTAGTAAGTTTTATCTTGAGACTTTTTGAGCAAACTATTCTCCAAGAGAGTGTACTAATGTACTTCTGTAAGTTGACTTGCATGAAATGAAGTCGTTAGAATTATTCGATATTGAGACATGATAAGTCAATTTCATGCAAGTCGGCTTGTTTTTTTCCCCCCTTTGAAACATCCTCCTTCTAATTTTAAATGTAAAAGTTAGATCATTAATTTATAAAAATTATCAACGCAAGTTAGGTCTAGCAAAAAAAAACTAATAATCTCTCACAATATGACAAACAAATATTTAAATCCCTATAAAAAATCATACTCACATTTAGAGCCTGTTTGGGTCCCCCCAAAACCATGGTTTAGGAGACAAAACCATGGTTTGGGTGAGATGTTACCCAAACAGTATCAATTTTGGGCCAATAATCTGAAATCATGATTTGGGCCAAAATCCAAAACCATAGTTTTCAGGAGAAGTAAATCCATTTTGCTTCTGGCTTAAATTAGAAAGTATGATTGTACCTATCAAAGTAGATCTCAACAATAATATGACTTTAACATCCCTCAATTATTTTTTTATAAACATATTTAATCTTATATCTTATAAATATATATACGTATTAATTATTTATTAATTACATTATCTTATGTATTATTAATTATGTTGGTTAAAAATATATTATTAACAATTTTATTCCTTCAAATTAAAATATATCATAAAATCTATCTTTTATGTAATTATCATATTAACTTATACTTTTTTTAGTAATTTATATATATAAAAAGTGCTTCTGATAACAACTATTCAAACACTTTCACTTTTCAGAATTACTTTTTCACGAAATCTATTCTTCCCAAAATATATTCTTCTCAGAATCTATTCTTCAGAAACTATTCTCCAAACCATGGTTTGGTTTCATCCAAACCCCCTTAGTGCTGGATAGCATTGTGCAGCAAAAAAATTATAGAAATTAAAAAGTTAGTTGAATTAATTATTTGCATAAAAATGAGTATATTAATTTCTCTAAATACTCTTTAATAAATTGTATTTGAAATTCACTCATTAATTAAAACTTCCTCTAATATTTAAGATCAATTAGAAATAATTTAAAAAACTATATGTTTGAGAGAGAAGATTGATATTTCAAAATAACTTTTCAAAATTTAATAACTTAGTCCTTTTGGTCTTATATTCAAAAAGCGGATGGCACCGCCCCTTGAACTAAATTGATTAACACAGATAATTTTAAATTGAGTTATGGTGATATGGTATGTTGTTCAAATTGAGTTTGGATGATGAAAACTATGAGATTGTGGCTCTATGTTCGGTTATCTGGAAAAGCAAGCATAGTGTATGCAGGTTTGGATCTTGAGGTAGAAAATGATGCAAAGGAAAAACTAAATTCGAACATCTGGAAAGTAATATTCTATTTGCTCGAGAAAAGTGTGGTTGGATGAATCAAGAAACACTTCCAAGTTTAGGGGCGGTAGTACGATTGATAGGGTTGTGAGCTAATCCATGACAGATTAGATCCTACGGGTTGGAAAGGCTTGCTTGCAAGCAGATTGGCTTTTAGCCAACCAAAACCTACTCTACTAACCCACCACATTTATTTATTTTTATATTTTATATTTTTTCATATTCTTTATACAACATACATAAAAAAAATATAATGAAATCCTTGCTTCTCTCTAAAATACTTGATTGAAAGTAACAAATAAATTACTTATCCGATCCTTAATATAAGACCTATTTAACTAATTTGATTAGATTAAGAAAGTTAGGTAAGTTAGTTAATTATAAGAAATATGACTTATTTTTCCTAAAACACTATAATCATCTTCCTTAATACTTACTCTCCCTCTTTTACTTGATTATAGTTGAGGGAGAATTCATAGTGTAATTTAGAAAAAATTGATAAATATGAGAAATAGATCTTATATTTAGGACCAAAATTAACTCAATAATTAGGTCATATATTAAGGATTGGAGGAGTATATAGACATTTTTTTTAAAAGAAATTTCATATGAAATACGACATATAATAATATAATTATAATAATTAATAAAATTTTAAAAAAAATTACAGGTTGGCTGTCACAAGTTGTGGGCCTGACTATCCGAATTGATAGGGCCCAACTCCAGCCAAGTTGTCTTTTAAACTCACACAAACCTACAAATATTACCAGTTTTTAGAGGGATTGGCACAGGCCACAACTCCCAGAGTTTCATTTTCTTGGGATTATAGACGTCACCGTTTTTACGCTTTATACTACTGATTTGGGGCCTGTTTGTTTTTGTTTTTTGTTTTCTTATTCTTAAAAAATTTTATAAAATTGTTTTTAAGAATAAGTTTTGGAAACAAAAAACAAAAAATTTTGTTTGAAAAATAATTTTAAAAAAATCATATTTGAAAAAATATATATATAAAAATTACACTTTGACAAGTGGTAGTTATCACCGATAATGATAAGTAATAGGTAGTAGAGGAAAAGAGAAGATTTCTCCAATTTTTCAAAAAAAAAAAAAAAACACAAAAAAAAAACAAGAAAACATGTAAAAGTTGTTTTGGTTTTTCAGTTTTTAAAAACATATTTTTGTTTTTTTATTTTTTAAAACAATCAACTAAAAACAAATTGCCAAACAAATTTTTTTTTCTGTTTTTAAAAATAAAAAATTGATTTCAAAACAAGGAACTAAACAAGCTCTTAATCATCCAATTAGAACTTAAGTCTTACTATTTTACTAGCAAGAAAAAATTATTTAACTAGCACCTATATTTTTTCTCAATGGGTATTTGTACTTTTTTTCCCTCTTAATTAAATATTCTGATTTTGTATTCACAAGGGAAATGTGCTCTTTTGCCTTGCGAATCACTCTCATCAAGAAAAAGTCTCCTAATTTAACAAAAAGAAAATTTTTAAAAGTTATCGTGGGAAAAGGAATAATCATCTACCGGAGAGGTCCACCAATACTTCAAATTCCAAAACCATACAAGTGAACAAAACTAGACACTCAAAAATCAATCAAAACCGACTAGATTAAAAGTCGTATTAATTTGATATTGTCCATGACGAATTCATACAACTTGATTCAATATTCAGCTTATGACAAACCAAACCAAATCATCAACTGCTAAACACAGATTCGTAATTTAAAATTGCACATCCACGTTTATTAAATTTGCGTACTTTTTTTTGGTTCACTAAGTAATCAAAATTCTACTAATTTTAGTTTGTAAAGGGTGCATGAAGTATTTTAAATTTTTGTACTAATGAGCACTAACAACTAACTGCCGGGACTCTGAAAAGAACCGCAATAAAATGAAAATAACCAAATCATTTGTCAATCCAACAGATGAAAATCTTGAGTCCAAAAAGGGGGAAATAACAAATATCCCAGATTTTTTTTTTTTGGGTTGAAGCAAATGGCATGAAACTACAAAACTTGACAATGAAATTCTCATTGTGAACTGCAATACTGGTTTAAGATTTCTCCGTGTCTTAATCAAAGTCCCACTAAAAGTGGATTATGCCAATCTCCTTCAGTCACAGAATAAATTTCCTAATAAAGAAAAACTAAAGTTTTAACATAGTACAACAGATGTGTTGAATTCCTGCTTCACTTGCATGATGAAATCCTTTGAAAAAATAAAAAATAATCAACTTCACGGGTGTTAGTGAAGCCCAAGAGGATCTTCCACCAACCTATTATTTTAAGCTTAACCTTAGACCAAATAAACGTTCTTAAATCGTTACATGCTCCTGAGGGATGCAAAAATTGGTCTGAACCCAATAGGAAAATGGTCATAAGCAAAGAAAACTACAATCCAATAGTTTTCTCCAACTTCTGAATCTGGTTAAGGAAAATCCAGGTCATCTGCGCAAGTAAACAAGCAGGTATCAGGAAGATACTCTAGAGTGAAGACAGACCAAAGAATTAATATGAATATATGATTATATAACATAAAATCTATAGAAGGTGCATTATTCGTCAGTTATGAATAGTGTAATTCATTTCTCGGATTCCGCACAGTACATGTGAGGCCCACATCTTGTTGGTTGTGAGATAAAACAAGAAGGAAAACCAAAGTAGAAATAACACGTGCAAACAGATGTGATTACCATGACATGAGGAGCAATTCTGACACAATAAACAGGGAATCCAGTATAAAACTTGAAGGGTCCTCCTGATTTCATGGTTTTGACAGCACAATCTAGAGAACCAGTGTATGGATATTTTCCCTCGGCATCGGGTTGCATCTTCTGTATCTGGGTCTTCACATAATCAAATGGCAAACTGCAAGCCGATGCAAAAAATCCAGAAACAGTACTTGCACCTGAGCAAGATGTTACAAGATATTAGCCCTTGGGCAATATAAACTTTTCACATGGAAGAAAATGAGAAAACAATGAAAGAGAACCCTTATTTTCTAATTCAGACTACCATCATAATAAAGCAATCGTTCTTAACAGTTGTAATACACACACGCATGTGCTGGCAAAAACACATACTAACTACTCTCCTCAGTCCCAGTGGCGTATAATATATATCTTAGTTCCATCTAAAGCATTTAGCGTGGTATCTTCAAAGGACGGATATATCAAGTGTTGACATGTCATTGTCAGTATTCGTGATGTCTAACTTGGCGCTAAGAAGCTATGAGGCCGGCCAATTTTATCCATCTTTCGAGTTCTTTCTGCAGCAGTTTTGTCATTGAATGTTTAAGTAATTCTTGCTTCCAAATATACAATATTCCGGAAAAAGAGTCTAACTATTTAATATTTGCATTGACTCCACTAATATATCGTCAACAAGGAGAGGGACATAAATATATGATATTTAATCCCATCTAAGCTGTCCTAATTCCTATCTTTAGAATATCTTTCTCGTGTTCTTATGCTGGGATAGAGGTTGCTGTGCATTGTCACAGAAATATTCTTTTCTGCTAACTTAGTTGAGCCATGCCTGCAGTGGCATAATCCTACAAAGGTTAAGACGCACTTCTTTACACAAGATGTCTTTTAGAATCTGTTCTGCATCTATCATCTTGAGCACAAACAAGATAAGAAGAAACAGGAACTTTTATATGCATATACACTATTTCCCCCGTTCCTTCTAATAAGAAACAATTAACCAAATTGTGTTGTTTGAAATGTTAGTTAAAATTAGTTGAAGATAATAAATATGTAAAAAATGTAACCTTTTTGCCAAATATGCCCTCATTTATGTGGAAGATAGAGAATATGTGATGGAGAGAAAATATGTGGGAATTAAATACAATTATATGAGTCATATGAGTAATTAAGTGGGGGTAAAATGGGAAATCAACAAGCAAAATTTGAGACAATCTTTAAATGTTTCCAATAAAAGGGAACATGCAATACTTAGCAATGGTCTCTTATAAAAAGAATCGGAGGGGGTATATATTTAAAAAAAGATAAATCCCAAAGGCTATGTGCAAACAACATATGCGTCAATAAAAGCCAAAAGAATCTTTTAAGTTTATATTTAGAAACCTCACCAGGTAAAATAGAAAACTGAACTGTTACTATTCGTGATAGGGGAAGAAGCTATCAATCTCATATCACTCTAGGGCACATGTATCTAGATTCTACTCACTGTCTGTCTTTAAAGATGGAAATGCTTACCGAAAAGGGGTGTTCTACACTAGATATGACATGTTCCAGAAACATGTGACTAAAGATGCCCAAAAAATCATCCAAAACATAGCTGTTAACCTTCTTCTTAACATTTGGACTCATGTTACTCCACTTTTAACAATTCAGTAGTGGAATTCAGTTCCCAATATGACGGCATACAATCATAATAACAATCACGTCAGCTAGAAATAATTTCACCATCGATGCAAAGTGGTTACTTACCAATTATGGTAGAAGTTTCACCTAGACCTAGGGAATCCCTGAAAAACTCAACACTTTGATCATAAGAGGCAAGCATTCCCATGTTCAATGCCATGGCTCTTACAACAGTAGGGCCAGCACCTTTCCAAAGTGACAACACCCCTTCATCAGCAACAATACGATAAAGAGCATGGAAGGCATTTGTGTAATTTCGGCGCTGAGCAACTGGTAAAGTTGCATCAGCCTGCATACGAATGAGTGCCAAATCCGCTGGGCTACCAACACATGCTCCAATAGCACCAGCAGTCAGTCCACACAGAGCTTTCTGATAGAGTGGCAGGGGCTTCCCTTCGTTAGCCTCCTGTGCTTTTTTGGTCAACACTCTATAAAGCCACACAACCATCCGGTAAGATGATGATGATAACAGAACTTAAAGGAGTAAAAGTGCAGATAATGTTTTATTGTATGATGTAGTGTTCAGAAGTCAGAAGGATAAATGATAGCGGCCATATCTACAGAAGATGACCATTACAGTAGAAGATCATACTACACAATGTGCCTTCTAGCTTAAAAAGTTATTCTTTGCAGAAAAAAGGTAACCTTATAAAAGCCACAGGTCACAGGCAGGCAAAGCTACAGAAACGCTCATTTTGAATGAAACAGTGATTTACTCACCTGAATGATCCAAGTCGAGCAGTTGTGTATGTTGCCTGTCTGAGTAATCCAGCAGATAGACCCTACAAATCATGATTCAATTTAGATAGCAGTCAAAGGATACCATAGTGAAAGGTAAATGAAAAAGATCCACACAGTTCCGAAGTTGGATGATCCAGAGCATAGTCACTGTGGAATCACTTCAAATGGTAGTTAACTATATGCAAAACTCGCTTTTTCCACTTATTTTAAACGTCAACAACCATATAACAGGCTATAAACCATATCACTTCCAAAGAAGACATTCTTATGCAAAAAGCAACCAACATCAGAATCATTAACTCAGAATTGTCCACTATAAAATTATTAAGTATGCAATAAGAAAATGACAGATTCCAATAGCCATATCCAGTGCCGAGTTCAGTGACACCCAATTAAGGATAAACTATTGCCGAAGCACCATCCAAAAAAATCGGAAGAATTGCGAAACACCAGTTACATCCAGAGATCAAGAACAAAACTTGAAAAGACTAAAACTTTGTGAAGAAGCAAACCTTGTAAAATGCAGCAACACCCTCATTCTTAAGCATGTTAGATGTCACCTGTACAGCCGATCCTTGACCCAGTTGAATCCTCACCTACACCAAACCCAGTTAAGAAAAACAAATAAATCATAAATACAGCCATAAAAAGAGAAAAAAAAAAAAAAAAAGCGCAACGAGAAAACCAAAATAAGCAACAGATATCGCAGATCACAGATCTACATTTCCTCACACACACATATATCACAATACAAATGCATAATGCCCTACATCATATCTAAGAAGACAAGAAGTAAGAAAAACTCCATGATCCATCAGGCCTATCGAACCAAAATAGATTGCAAAGGCGAATGCTTTACCTTGATCATATCAATAGGTTGTATAACACAGGTCGCGAGCATACCGGAGGCTCCGCCATTGACGAAAGGCTTCACAGTAGGCCATACACCAGCTGACTTGGGCTTGTTCTCTCCCATCTCCGAGATTCCGAGTTTCAGCGAAGGAACAATGGACCTTTGCGGCTCAGTGAGGCAAGGAACAAGGAGAGGGAGGCAACGAGGGAAGCGAAAAAGATCCGCCCCGTCGATCCCTCCCTGTATATAGATGGGAACAAAATTTGTATAATAATTTATAATTAAACAATTAATTTTTTTTTGTTGATAATAATTAATTTACCATTCCACTTTTACATATTATAATTTTCTATTTTTAATATAAGAACTAGTTAATTAATTGAGTAAATTAAAAAAATTTGTTAAGTTAGTTATTTATAATAAATAGATGTTATCTTTTTTAAAATAACATTACTAATCATATATATTAGTTAAAACTACTCTTTGATGAAATTTTTAATATGTGCAACTACTACAAGTATTACTTTAAAAAAAATAAATAAGAGACAAAGTAGATTGAAGTTTTATATTTAAGATCAAATTAAAAATCAAACTAACTCTTATATTAAGAGGCAGAGATAGTAATTTATATTTTTTATTTATCACAATATATAAATTAATGCAAACCTTAATTCAAATTGTGTAAATTATTAAAATTTATTCTCACCCCAATATGTTAAAATGTGTATAAAAAAACTGATATAATATAATACTATAATTTAAGAATTGAATTGACAAAAATTATGAGGGTAACATAGTCAATAAATTTATATTTTAAATTAATAATTTTTCCTCTACATTTGGAACAAGTGAGTAATTTATTTTTCATATTATAATCATTAATGGAATATCACCAAAATCATGAGAGTAAAATAGTTAAATGAAATTATTTTTTTATTTATATTTTAAATTAATGTGCTTCCTCATATACCGGCGAACATAAAAATAGTTTTTTTTTTCCTCATGGCTATATTAACAGAAATTTGGTTTCCCTCTCCTAAGAGATGAAAACAGGTCAGGCCTGATTAGTAATAAGTTAGCCTGAGTCTGACATGTGACCTATTATAGGCATTTTCTTTTAGCCTGAGTCTAGTCTGTGTAAAGGTCTAGCCTGGCCTGAGTTTCTTTAAAAAGCTTGTAATTTTAAAAATTTCAAAATGCATAATAAAAAATGCATAAGCTAATAGAAAAAGTAAAATATACAAACTGCAAAATAATTATTTTTTATTATCATATTTTATTTAAATTTTAATGTCATAAGTAATATTTTAAATTTTGATTACGGTTAATATTATTGAAAACAAGTTATAAGTACATATTAAAATTTGAAATAAGATTATATATAAGTACAAATTAAAATTTAAATCAAGATAAATAAATAGACCAGGTTAGGCCTGACAGGCTTAATAGTCTTTGAAAAAGGCTTAAGCCTAGCCTCTTAGGCTAAACAGGCCATTAAAGAGGCATGAGCCTTTTTCTATTTTGAAAAAGGCCAGGCCTAATGCAGGCCAGGATAGGCCGCTGGTATATTTCCATCCACCCCTACGGCTAGAGCTAATAATATGGATTGAGTTCGTGGGCTTAACCTGCCAACCAGTCAAAAAATGACAGGTTGGGTTGATAAAAATCAGGCTCATTTTAAAACAAATTTTTTGAGCCTGTAATCGCTAAGACCAAAACCTGCAGCGAGCTAATCCGCAGGGTTGGCGGACTAGCCCATTTTATTTTTAAAATTTTTTTCCTCCCTAAAATATAATTATGTTTACTTTTTTGGTCCTTTACCTCATTCTTATTATTTAAAATTACCATAATGTACTATATCTTTTACTTTGTATTATGAATTTTACTTATATCAAAGTTAGTTGAGTAAAAAAAAAAGGTGATTCTACTTATGAAGCTTAACCAAATAATTTCACATCTTCATATCATTTTTCGAACTATATCAACATTGAATGATAGCTCATGATTGAGCACTTGATAGTAATTTATAACATTATGTTTGTATTATTATTAATTTAAATTTGTTATATTTTAATTTGGGATGTATGTTTAATCATTTAGGATGATGTATCATATATGCCTATAGTAGTATTTTGAAGTGTTTGGAACTTTGGATTTCACATTTTATTTATAATAATTTTTATATACATATTTTATTTTAGGTGTTTTAAAATTAGAATAAATTTTATTAAAAGAAAACAAAAGATACCAAAAAATTTTTTTTAAAAAAAGAATCCACCTTGACGGATTGGGTTGGAAAAATATCAACCTGTCAGAAGTCAGTTTTTTTAGGACAAACCCATTGATCCTTCAGCTCGCCACGGGCCAACCCATAACTGGCGAATTGGCCTATATTACCGACTCTACCTACGGCTCTCATCCAAAATTATCAACCAAATTAGGACTGGTCCTTTCCTCTCCTCTATTGGAGCACACAATTTAACTAAATTAAAGTTATGTTTTAATGATCAAATGACAAACATACCCTTCATTTATTTAAGATTTTAACAAGTAATAAATGTTATTAAAATACAAGTTAAGAGTTAATCCTATACTATTTTTAGGCCTTACAATTTGATTTTTTTTTGGAGCAAAGTCCTCACAATTTGATTGAATGTTGATTTTGATTACTATAATTTCAAATTGTGGTGTTTGACTTTATATTTTTTTATTTTAAAATGTTAGTTCCTATAGTTTTATATCGACTTGAATTTGGGTTTAATTTCATTAACAAAATTAATGTTGTTAAGTACAGAAACAAAAAAAAAATCATTACAAACTTGAAGTTCACTGGACACATGGAAAACTACAATCATTTTTATTCAAGGTTTCTCCCAACTCCCCTAACTAAAATTTTTTTTAAATTTTATCCTTAATTTAGATGTAGAGAAAATGAGATAGGAAATAAAACTAGGAAAAAATAGGGGAGAATTGAGTTTTCTCTATTTGAATGAGGAGAAAAGGCAAACGAAAAAAAAATTTGAGGGGGAAAAAAAACTAGATATGATATCCGCTCTATTTTTACCCAACTTTTCAGTTTTCTCTACATATGAAGAGAAAATGAGAAGAAAACTCATTTTATGCTTGTGCCCTCCATATTTTATTTCTATGTTATATTTTTATCATATATTAATAATGTTGAATAAGGTTAATTTATTTATTTCTTTTTATTCTATCTAATTTCAAAAAATTATCCACCTGTTATATTTTTTCCCTTGAAAGTTATTTTTTTTCCCCTAAATTATCTAGCTTTAAAAATATAGTAACATGAAAATACATTTTTATCAGATAATTTTATTTCAAATTATTTGATGATGCTATTTTAATTATATTTTTATTGTGATATTTAATTTGATTTTAAATATGACATATATAGAAGGATATTTTAATAATTTAAATGTTTGCTTATTTTTCCCTCTAATTTTTAATTTGTTTACTCAAAATGATAACATTTTTTCTTCAATTTTTTTCTTTTCTCCTTCTTTCATTTTTCCCCCCTCAACTTTTCTTGCCATCCGAAAATAGCATACAAACTGACACACAATTATGCACAAAAAATAGACGCAAATTTTCACTTGCCTCGAAGTGAATCAAGAGAAGCCAAACCGATTTAATTTTATTGATGACTTGGACATTGATTTAAGTATTCATGATATCATATTGATTTGAAAATTGGTATTATTAATTAGGCATCATGGTTGGTTTGATATCAGTTCTATGTATTAAGCTGTTTATATCATTTCATAGATTGCTGCGTCAAAAGCATAAATTATTTCTTACATGTCTGATTGCCATGTTAATAATAATCACTTGAGAGATATCTAAAATTGCAGACTTTCTTTTCCTTTGGATTCTGACTTCATATCGCATGACATAGAAAATTAATTTTTTTACCTTATAATTTCGACTTAGTTGTATCTCAATGTTTAAATTTTAATTCGATGTAACCCAATCTCTATAATTTTAATTCAATTGAAACTCTTTCTCTAAATTTTAACTCACTTTAATTTTAATTTTAAAGCTTTAGTCTCTAAACTTAATAAAAAATATAATTTTATTTTTTAAAATATAGAGTCTAATATTTTAAATGATTAAAATATAGAGATTAGGTTATATTAAATCAAAGTCACAAGGACATAAAGATTAATTTTCTCTATATTACACACACACACACTAATTTAAAAGGTTCATTTTCTCAAAATGTCAATGTTCATAATTTAATTTGAATAATTGCTTTGTAAAACAGCTCTTCAATCATCTGAAAGCCAAGTGAGCTTCTAACACTGACTGAACATAAGCCATAAAGCTCATTTATCTGAAAAGATCAGGCCCGAAAAAAAAAAGGGCAAAAAAGGTCAGGCAACGGGTGCCGTTTCATGAGCTCATCTTGTATCTTGGAGTCCCCTCAGCTATACACTGTTCACATGACCTATATAATATATTTTCAAGAACTTCCTGCTGAATAGTTCTGTAGCTTCTGCATCCCTATAGTTTATTTCACCTGGAGGCAATATAAAAGAAATCAAATGGATTCAGGGAGCTTCTTGGGAACACTTGTTGATCAGGCTAAATTAAGAAACTACTCAAAATGAATTTAACTGGGCTCAAAAGCCCGATTATTAATTAAAAAATTGGCAGAAAAACAGAGCAGAAGAAGCCTGTAGGCATCAAATTTAGCAATTCAAGATGTTGATGATGGTGGTGGTGGTGGTGATGAGATGGAGCTTTCCAGCATTCTTATCTTGGACGTCACTGCAGAGCTGTGAAATGAAAAAATAATACTAGCTAATCATACCCCATCATAATACTCCCTCCATAACATATTAATTGCATACCGTAGATTAAGAAATTTGATTAAAATCAATTATATAATAGTAAGGATTCAAGTAAGTTTTAACACATTATTGGTACTACTATCAAACGACAGTCAATCCCATAGAATCATCAACTAAGCCTAGACAGAACCACAGATATGTGAATGACAATATAAATTCATATTTCTTAGACAACAGAAGGGAGGGTCATGCTTGGTTGAACAGGATTTTACTCCCCTGCGCTGCCAAGAAAGAAGGTCATTTCCAACATCCCAATTTCATATAATCACAACCAGAGGATAGATTTACACTGATATTGTGATTCCACCGTGCTCTATGTTCATATATAAATTTCTAGGATTAAAGTTTTACAGAGGGTATCAGCATGTTATGATCTTATCCTAGTATACTGTGAGGGGAAAAAAATTCTCTTCAAAATGCGTTTGTCTCCAATATTTTTTCCAATAGACAAACTAGTGTTTTAGATATTTTTTAAAATATTGAAAGCATAGGTGTTATTGATGGAAAATATGGGAAGACTTATCGTTGAAGGAAATGATGTTTAGTTTATTTTATATCTGGCAAGTGGCAGAGGAAATACCCTACTTCTATGTTTTATTTTATTTACTTTCTGTTATAGCTTGCAATTGGCAGAATATTGCCTTGTTATATATAATATTTTGAACTTTGGATGTTTCCTTCCTAGAGAGGAAACGCTAGGATATTATTTTGTTTTCCTTCGTGTGAAGGAAATCTCACTTTATAAATAGCAGCTAGGCAACACTTGTAGACGGACTTTTTGTTTTTTGGACGAATGAAAATATGTTACCTTGATCAGATTCTGGTCTCTCTCCATATTACCCTTCGTTCTGTCTCATCTCCATCACCATTTTCTGTTCTGGTACCCCCTTTTCTCCTCTGTTTCTGTCTCTCTCTCATATCCCTCTGTTTGTACATGTGAAAGTGTGTATGAGTGTGTTTTGCATCAGTTATAGTCCAAAATACAAAATGAACAGCTAGCTTTTTGTTGAGAGAAGGGTTTTTGCAGAAGATGAAGCATTGCTTCTTGTTTAAACTTCTCAGTGGTGCACAACTTAGTTTCTCTCTGCTTACCAACTATTTTTACTCTTATTATCATGGATTAAACAAAACACAAAATTGAAGCACATTTTTGTTTGAAGATGTTAACAACGGAACATTCTTTTTATGATTGGTACGAAGGCAGCAGAAGGGGGTTGGCAATGGTTGTCTGTTATGCTGTAAGCATATATCATCCCAAGTTTGCACCCATTTCTCTGGCGTGCAATCTGAACACCTTTATAGGCCTCAAATTTGAACATTTTCTATAGCCCCTTCGTTATTAGAGACTTAAACTAATTATCACTTCTATTTGTCCAAGGTTGAACTTTTTATTTAGTCATAAAGAAGAATATTAAGTCCGCACTGAAAATATTCAATATTTCAATAATGGAATTATCATCGTGATATAACTCAATTTGTCATACCCATTTTGTACAATTTGTGTGAGTATCGGTGACTTGAGATTAGCAAATATTTGATTCTTTAAATTTTAATTTAAATTAAGCAGAAAAAAGTTTCTTATCTAACCATCCAGAATCAACCTTCTCCCCCTCTTTTCCCCCCTTCTTAAGAAGCTGAGCCAAACTGCTTCGACTCATTTTTCAAACAAAGGAGTGGTTTCATCACGTCAACTACGAAAAAGCAAATTTGCTGGAATACTTGGAAGCTAATCCAAGGATTTGATTCACTCACCCTAACCTCAACAATATAAATCATAAATAGTCAAAAAGAGACCGCCAAAAATTTCACTCTAAGTATAGCTTTAAAAGTTTACTGGCAACTCTACAGTAAAATCCATACAGAATATAAGAAAAAAAGTGAAGGAATAGACAAAAAGGATAATAAAATCTGACTGGAAATAGGATAAAACATGTCGTGCTTATGGAATTATTCATTTTTCTAGATCATCCCCAATATCTCCAGTGCCATCATCTGAAAGACCAGAAAGGTTGTTTGCAAATGTGGGATTCAGATTAACATTGGAATTCTAGGACTATTGACAATGGATAAATTGCAACTTACATCACATATAGATTTTGCTATCAGCTGGTTAATCTTCTCTTGATTATTGTGGCAACCATTACAATTGGAGATGGACCAAACTTGAATGTGCAGTATACGTAATTTTTTTCAGAAGCCAACATCAGATTCTAAGGGCTAAAATAAACAAAGCGTACCTGCTTCATCATCAGTGTCTCCCTTTTCTCCCAGAAGAAAGACATACAAGTCTTGCTCAGTTGAGATTGTAGTTTTGTTCTTTTTCACTTCCTCTATCCCTTGATTAGAGGTAAATCCAACATTTCTTGATTCTCTTGCTTGGTGATATTTTTCTTGTTCAGAGGATTTGACTTTGGCATCCTCCATATTACTGTTTCTGACAGCTAAGGGGAAATTATGAAACAAGGGAGTTCAAGAACAGTAAAAAATCAGTACACAGCTATATACTAGGTGAGAGCGCAGTAGAACGAGGGATATACAAGAGATACCCGCATATACAACGTGTACATCATTTTTGTTTCCAGAGTACATCAATTCTTTTAGTGGTGCTACCCAAATACTTCACCAAAATAGTTGCTAAGATGAACCTTTTTTTTTTTTTTAAACGATGAACATTTTATACAAATCCAGTTAAATTTTATATTCATGTAAATGGACTGCACGAATAGTTGTTGAGAATATCATGGGTGTGTTAGCATTCTGTTGCCAGTACTGGCTCTTCTCTAGCAATCCAAATTACAATTTGAACAATTTACATGAACATATCACTTGGGGAATGCTCCTTCAACTTTTAATGCCTAATGAGCATAGGATTTTCAAGTCTCACAGATGAGAAATGATTCTTCTAGGTCTTTAGGAACTCAGAGGACAGTATAAATATAAACCCCACATGAAAACAAATAAATATCTGTTAAGCACAAACCACATGCGATATTCACCAAACACAGACAAGGCAAATGAAAGATATCGTTTTAAGTTTCATTTGACAAATAACAACAATACCGTCTGGGATAAGATAATTGTATAATTTCTTCTTATGAATAAAGAATTCTATGATTGGAATTACCATTAGCATTCCTGAGAAAAAAAATACACCGACATAGCACGGTTAAAGGGGATAATAATCTAAACCAACAACATACAACCAAGTTGAAGAGTAAAAATCTCAATTATCATTAAGTAGATTCTAGTTGTAACTATATGCCATACGATAATCATGATAAATTTTAGTATTCATGGGTAGGGATGGCAAGGATTCTAACATAATATATAAGTTTTGTCAAAAATGAATTTCAGGAACTGAGGAGATATGACCTCTTGTTACCTTCAAAAAATTCATTTTATCAACTCAATGATCCGGTTAGCCAGACTTCGTACAACCATCAAAGAGAGACGTTATACGCCCAGCAACTGAGCAGCAAAATCATGATAAGCTGGCACAAGACATCCTTTACCAATAATCTCGGCAAGAACATGATCCCTTGCTAAAATGATGGAAACGAGTTCGATCCCGAATAATGATATGTTTGTTAAAGATATTTGAAACATGCTTCATGAAATCATGGCAATCACTACATATTCTAAGGTTCTTGATGATCCTTATGGTTTTTCTATCCTGATGATTAACAAGCATATAAGCCACTGCCAGTTTCTCGCTATGATAACTCAGACTATATTCCTTTTCTTCCTCTTGAATGTCATGCAGCACGGAGGATGTATTAGGACTGTAACCTCCACCTTTTAGAGTATCTATAACTGAAACTAGTAACTGTCTAATCTCCTCCCATTGTGGATGAGAACAATCTCCAGATACAAACTCATGAATTTCTTGATCAATGTTGATCAAACTATGGCCAGGCTCCTTGATAATTTTATTCTCCTTCATTGAGTTCCTCAAGCCAGCCTTCTCAGTCCATTTACCAACTACACCATATGCATTTGATAAAAGCACATAATCACCACCATGATGTGCGTCTAGCTCAAGGATTCGATTTCTAGCCTTCTCGGCCAACTGCAGGTGATCGTGTTTAACACATGATCCAAGAAGAGTTCTCCAAATAACAGAATTTGGCTGGACTGGCATTTCCTCCACTAACTTAAAAGCTTCAAGGAGGAGACCAGCACGGCCTAAAAGGTCAGCCATGCAACCATAGTGCTCAATCATTGGCTCAATGTGGTACTCATTCCTCATGCTTTCAAAAATCTGCCAGCCTTCCTCCACGAGACCACTATGACTACAAGCCAGTAAAGCACCAATAAATGCAACACTATCAGGCTTAAAATGAAAACTTTTCATCTCATAAAATGCATTTAAAGCCTCTCTACCATAGCCATGCACTGCCAATCCAGTTATAAACGTAGTCCACGTAATAACATTCTTAACAGGCATTTCATTAAAAATTTTGACCGAGCGATCAATGCAGCCACATCTTGAATACATATCAATAAGAGAAGTACCCAATGAAACTGTTAGAGGCAACCCACTCCTGGCAATCAGTGCGTGAACCCAAATCCCCAATTCCAAGGCACCCAGTATAGAAATGGCAGATATAACACTTAGCATAATAACCCCATCCGGTTTGACATCCTCCTCTAGTTGCATTTGCTGAAAAAGGACCAAAGATTCGAAAACAAAATCATTCTTCACAAGGCAAGAAATCATAGAGGACCAAGAAACCAAGTCTTTCTGTGGCATTTCATCGAACAGCTTGAGTGCCATGTCTACGAAGCCACAACATCCATAAAAATTAATCAACGCATTCTGGACATAGATGTCAGGATCAAAACCCAGCTTCACAATAAGAGAGGAAAGCTCAATACCCCTTTTCAATGGAGAACATGCCTTAAGGACAAATGGGAAAGTGAAGTTATCAGGCCGAACACCAGCTCGATGCATTCGAGAGAAAAGGGAGCAGGTTCGGTGGAAAGACCATCGTGGAAGTACTCTGAGAACAGAGTTGTAGGCGTCTGTGTCAAATACTGGATAGTGAAGCAGGAGAGAATGAGCATAAAATGCTGCGTCACTGAGAGAATTTGCCGAAGCCAAACAACACTGAAGAAGATTACGGAGAGAAGAGGAGTTTTCATGTTGACCCACTTTGATCAGCCGAGCATGCAGCTTGTAGACATTATTCATAGCTTTACAGGAGCTGTACTTAGCAATAAATTAGCCTTTTTTTATGTCGAGAGACCAGGCATGTCCTTCCTCCCAAGCTTTCTCCTTCACGTGAAAGCTTTCCCTGATCAAGAGACAACTAGAATATCACCTCGTGCACTTGCAGAATGCAAGAGCCTCCGCCCGAGGGAATCCTCGCTGATGTCGAAAATGGGCTTTTCTTTTCGAGACATGGTTAGGATTAATGGCATGGGCCTCCCGTTGTAATCCCTTTGTGCAAAATACACCCATTGTGATAAATATTCTTTTTTGGTTACAACAAAGTTTAGGTAAGTTGGGTTTTAAGAGCTCACAAGATCAATGCATGTTTTTAGGTTTAAAAAGTGCTTATAGAAGTCCTTTACAAGTTGCCCACCAATAATGTTCACTCATTCTCCTTTTATAACCGACACATGTAATGGCCCCTCCTCTATAAATATTATACAGTTCTGAATATTCAGTACACAAAGTGTTATTCACTCATTCATTTGTCTTTTTTGCCCTATTCTCTATGACTTCCTTTTATGATACTAGAGCCCAAAAATCTTGAGGCGATGTCTTCCACTTCTCAATCCTTTGCTTCTCATTCCTCTGCTTTTTTTCTCTCTCAATCAAAGAGAGATATAGTGACATTTTCGCATCTAGTTTCAGTAAAGCATTACTACAAATAAGGTCATTTTCATCGTTCATTTTGTCTGTTTTGAAAAATAGAAGAATATGGGCCTTCAAATTCATCTACTAAAAGGAAACATACTAGTATAGGGGTCTATACTTGTCTGTTATGATGAACAAACGAGTATGAGGCCCCCAGACTTGTCTGTTTCTCTTAAAAACAGACGAAAAGCATCTTTTTTTTAATTCAAATTTCATCTTTGCCGCACACAAATTTGAACAGACTCTAGAAATACGCCTTCTACTTTCTTCTTTGTGTGCGGCGAGCTCTTTCTCTTCCTTCTTTAGATTTCTTCTTCTCCTTTCTAGTGCCGATGCTGGCAATAAGTTTGTCTTCTCCCTCTCTAGCTAGTAGCTCGCCATCTTCTTCTCTCTCTCTCTCTCTCTTCTCCATTCTTCATCCATGTCATCCTACGACTAGGAGCAATGTTTTCTTCTACAGAAGTCACCATTCAATCTCGTCTACCTTAAGCTTGTTCACAACACAAGGTAAGTGGCATGGATGTTTGTCTTTTATATTATGAGTTTTTGGATGTTGAAAGGAATTAATATAATTCTTTGTAGGTATGTATGTTTTTTATTTAAATTGATTGTTGGTAAGAATTGCACTTAGGAATTATTCAACATTGATTGGGTATCATTTTGACGATTAAAAAGCTTGCCAAACTTGTTTAAATCTTAATACACATAAGATATTTGTAAAAATGTCTAAGAAAACAATTTGATTGGAATGTAATAGTTAATTAAGTATTTTCAATGTTTAATCTTTACATTGAATTTTAGAAAGCTTTAGATGCTATTTAAACATATACATGTATATAACTTTATTTTTATTATATTGTAGGTAGAAAGTGTTGAGAGAAGTGTGCTTCAAATTTTATTGGAAAGCTTGAGTTGAATATTACAATCATCCTAATTAATCTTGCAAGTAACCTTAAAAATGATTCAAGTAAGCTTGAAATCGATTTTTTATTTGGATGCTTAGTTTCTTTTGCTTAACTAAGTTAGGTTGTCATTAGATTTTTTGGATTTAAGACTTTCTTCTATCATATGACTAACTTTTGGTGTTTAGTTGTTTTTACTTAACTAAGTTAATTAATTAGGATGTTATTTGTTTTAAATGTTTTAACCCTTAAAATTATGGATTGACTGGATTCTATTTATATGAAAAACATGTAATTTGGTTGTGCTAAATTACTGTTATTTTTTGCTATAATCTGTTTTAGTTCTGCTATATGTATGCTTTTATAATTGCAAGTTGAATAAAAACTAGCAATTTGAAATTTTTTTACCTTTTTTTCAAAAAAAAAAATATTTGTCTGTTCTGGCCATAACAGACGAATACGAGCATGCATATTTGTCTGTTCTGGTGAGAACAGACAAATATGCATGCCTTTGTCTGTTTCATAACAGATGAATATATGAATGCCAATATTTGTCTGTTTTATATAATTACTACCTACGTCTCCTATATCAACGTCTTCTCCAAAATAGATGAAAAAAGGCCTTCAAAACATATGAAAATGACATATTTTCCACTAGTGAAGCTAGATAAAACCAATTTTCTAATTTGGAAACACCAAATCGCTTCTTCTATCCATGGTTAGGATTTATAATGTTACATCAACAAAACGACAAGATTAGCTTCTTACCTCATGAATGTCATGCTCTATGAGTGACGCTATGCTCACTCGCATTGTAGGCTTCAAGACCTCGCTACAGATATGGGAGAAGGTCTATGGTCACTTTGTGTCAGACTCGTGCGAAGGTGCATCAACTTAAGTCACATCTTAAGAATACCAAGAAAGGTAATTTGACTGCCAATGAGTACCTCCTAAAGATAAAAAAACCTTGCAGATGTGCTTGCTGGCATTGGTCATCTAATCAGTGAATTGGATCCCATAGAGATTATTTTCTTAAGGTCTCACTAAAGAATACAATCCTTGGATCACTACTGTTACAACAAGATCTGATCCATATACTATTGAAGAAATTGAACCTCTGCTCCTAGCACAAGAATTTCGCATTGAGAAGAATCAATTCTGGTTAATTCATCCTAGAACTTTTGGTTGCGCTTGTTTTCCTCTTACCAAACCATATAATAAGCATAAGATGGACTTCTGGTCAATTCCTTGCATCTTTATTGGTTACAGTGTTGCTCATAGAGGCTATAAGTGTTGGGACCCAAAAGGCAGAGCATACATATCACGAGATGTTCGTTTTAATGAGTCTGATTTTCGTTATCCTAGCCTGTGTCCCTCTTCCTCTACTCCTATCTTGTCTTTTAAGTCCTCTTTTGTCTTACCTCCTCTACCTCTCCTTTCTTCCGTGTGTTCTTAGTGCAATGCTACTAATAGTTCTGTTGTTTCACCTATTCATGATTGCAGGTCTCCATCAAGTACCTCATCTTCCGCTACTGAACCATTATCCTCTGAATCCAATCATCCACTTGTTCCTGCAGCACTAAAACCGGAGAGATGAATAGTGACAAGGTCTATGAATGGCATTTTTAAGCCCAAAGCTTATGTTGCTGAGACAAAGCCTACATGTGTTCATAATGTTCTTACTTCTTCTGTTTGGAAAAAGGTGAGGGATGAGGAATCTGAGGCTTTGTTACAAAATAAGACGTGACATCTAGTTGAGTTACCTCCTAATAGGCAAGCAATTGGGTGCAAATGTGTATGGAAGAGGAAGACAAATCCCAATGGTAGCACTGCAAAATACAAAGCTCACCTTATTGCCAAAGGCTTCCATCAGAAAGAAGGGTTTGATTTCAATGAAACCTTCAATCCTATTGTTAAACTTTAGTCATTATTTGAGTGGTTCTGTCCATTGTAGTGTGACAAAATTAGGTTCTATGGCAAGTCGATGTGAATAATATGTTTCTTAATAGTTCTCTTCATGAGGAAGTTTATATGCAATAACCTCCTGGCTATGAGCACAAAAACAAAGCACTTGTGTGCAAGCTTGACAAAGCTTTGTATGGCCTTAAGTAGGCTCCTAAGGCTTGGTATGAGAAGCAGTTCAGTGTATTTTGTAACATTCCAATTTTTTCTTGATTTTATTTTAGGATTTAAGTTATAAGGGTAAGAGATTAATTAATAATATTTAAAATTAAATCTTATTGAATAAATTATAGATAATAATGTTTGTGATATACATATAAATTATGAAAAAAAATAAATAAATGAAAATTTTTAAAAATTCATATATATAAAAAAATTATTATATATACATTATTTAAAAAAATAAATAACAAAGCAAGTGAGTGGCACGTGGGCCACCCACTGCCAGTTGGAAGGAGGGGGTAAAACCCTGTCCTAGGCCGTGGCCCTTCAAAACATAATTAAAAAAGAAAGAAAGAAAGCATCAGAGGCATTTTATTACTGGGGGTCACGTGTACCCCCACTTTCCAATCTTTTCTCTTTTTCTACTTCGTCTTCGTATTTCCTTTGGTCCGTCTCTTACGAGTAGGAGCAAGTTTGAGAGAGGGTAAGAGGAAGGGAAAAAATGGTGTCTTATGTTAGTCTCATCTAAAATATTTAGATAAGCTATTTTCATCCTATTTTTCTATTTAGTTTCCTCTATTTATTTTTCAAAGTTTACGGCAGAAGAATAAATTTTTAGGGCTTGATAGATTGTTGATATTTGAAGTTTCTAATTTATTATTATGCTATTAATGAAGCTTATGGGGTTAGAATAAGAGTGTTGTAACCTAGATTGTTATTTAGATGGTTGATTTGAGAAAATGTAAGTTAGGACTTAGTTGAAAAATTGTGATATGTGAGAATGGTGATATTAATTTCAAAATTGATCTCTTAATTTAGTTCATTAGAGAGTATATTGAAGATTCAATGCTTAAACTTTGAGGATTTTTGTTGGAATAAAAATGCTGATGATTTTTGGAGAGACTTTAACTAGTGCAAGTTGGGTGTTTAGAACAAATTAGGAAAAATGTTGAATTTTAATGATCCTGAGAGGTGATTAATGGAAGAAGGAAATAGGATTGTAATGATAAAATGAGGAATGGTTAATGTATGGCTATTTTCTTAGAATTAAAGTGAGCACTTTTGGGAAATTTTTGTATTATTTGGAAGGAATTATCTTATTAATAATTTTGATAAGTGGAATAGAGTTAAGAAGTTTTAGAATTTGTTATTTGGAAGGATGTTTGGAGGAATAGATGAATTATTATTTTTCCTAAAGATATTTTCTTTAAGTGAGCCAATTATGGGGATTTGATTAATAAACTATTTTAATGCTATATTAATTAGTTTTTTTATTAATATATGTTTATAAATTTATTATTGTAGAGTAAGCTTGGTTTAGGTTCTTAGGTCTTGAATCCTCCCATTTTAGTTCTTGTGTCAAGAACTTGAGGTAGCTACTTTCTAATTTACCTTATATGCTTGTTGATGTGATTATAAGCATGTGTTGATATTATAAATGTTATCATTACATGTT